CTGGGACTGCTCGTGTGGAGGGATGCGACACGGCCGTGCTCTGCGGAAGGCCCCCCCAGCAACGAATACGCAAGCCACTGTAATACGCAAGAAGGGTTTCGATGCTTGCGGAAAGGCTCGCTTGCAAAAGGCAACATGCAGTGATGCAGTTACATGCCATCTCATCCAGGCGCGGAAGGCTGCAAAAGCTTTGGTGCTAGGGTTGGGGGGAAAGAGTTTTCGCCCAACTAGTAGGTCCTAGATAGCAGATTATATAACACATTTCCAGGTTGCGACTTTACCTTGCAAACATGGAAACAAAATCGGCTTGTCCTGAACACGGCGAGCTGGGAAGCCTGACGTCTCAGTACTTTTTCAGGGAATGTGTTGAGTTCTCGCATCGTTCGAAGCACTTCTATTTCCCTGCTCTCGACCGCTTGGTCTTGTTTGGTTTCAGTGATGATGGAAGCTTTCCATGAGGCTTCATGCCATATTTCCTCATGGCAACTTTGGTGCTCTTTGGCCACTTCATCGCAAAGGGCAGGCTGTTCAGGCCCAAAAGCCGGTCTTGCGCTGTCCTTGAGGTTTCGGTTTCGCTTTGAGCATCGCTGCGATGTGCGGCGCGAGCCAGACTGGAGCCTTCCAGCCGCGGGCTCGGAGACGGAGACTGGCACGACACTGGCCGTAAGTGTAGAATCGGCAGAAATGATCGTGTCTGATAGTGTAAGGATAGCACACTCAGACAACTTGTTTTCAGCCCTTGAGCTATTCTGGATCTTCGTGTGCCAGGACCTTGAACTTGGTGTACGCAGCTGGTGGCGCTTTGCTTTTCTCAGGCAAGCGGCTTTCGATTTTCAAGCTGCTCTGTGCCGATTCAAGGCAGGTAGACTAGGTGGACTCGTAGACTAGGTGGAATCGGTGCAACTGTACCGTGCCGAATGCTGTTCCACGCTCGATATCAGCATTGCTACAGCGGAGGCTACATCATCATGGACACGCAGTTGATCGTCGGTGGAAAGCATCAGAGGTTTCGATTCTGCATCGATGACTACTGCATGGCAACTTGCCCAAGTCAGTGGTAGCCATTATGCAGTTGCAGTGTATTGCCTGCAGAAAGGAGAACGTAGATATGGAGAACTTGCATCTTGCCGGCTCGAGGCAGCCATCACTATATATCTCGACATCGTTCAGCTGTTTCTGTTCTTGCTGCGGCTGCTTGGAGAGCGTAGACGCTGAGAGTGCGATGCTCGGAATGTTGGCCGACGAAATGGCCAGTGAATGAAGCGTTGGCCATCGCCACTGGTGTGACAAAGTGGTTCAGATCATCGATAGGAGCGATGCACAAATCTCGGGTAGTTACAGAGTGTCCGCTGAGTATCGTGTTCAAGTCCTCCTACCGCAGCAGCTACAAGCACTCGTAGTGTAATTGTACCAGGACCAGGGTGGAGCTCCAATCAAAGTTTGGACAGTTGCGCTTTCTTGCTGCCCAGAGCAACCACAGCAACCGGTTGCAACGCTGCAAGCACGGTCGCAGCACCTTCTTTGTGTGTGAACGGTGCATGTAAATCGCTGTCTGGTGGAGTCTTTATCGGCTCAACTGTCATTGGCTGCTGACCTGCGTTGGAAGCTATGAGCAACAGGCTGCCTTCTGGACGTTCTGTCCCGTGTCATGCCGCTATTCCTCTTACGTTCAAAGTTGGAGACTTCTGGTCAGGTATACTCCCGGGCAGAACGTTGTCGTTCAGGGCGTACCTGTGGAGGAAGTCGATTCAGACGAGCACTACGTTCCTGGTGTTTCCCGGCTGTCACGCAGCAATTATTTGCGAATGTCTTCTGGCATACTTCCGATATCTTCTGATGTAGCTGCACATCTCTTTAGGAGCTTATCGGGCTGCAGAGCACCGCGGTGAAGAATGGCTTCGTTAAGAAGGCCACGAACGTTTCGTCTCCTGGCCATCTCTGGCTCGGCTCGGCAGCTCGAGTGCTGCAGGTCTACAGCATTCTCACGGTCCAGCTGATCGTCACTACACTAATCGCTGCACCGATGCTTGGCCAAGCATGGAAGGAAGGTCCAAGGCAGACCTCCGCGATGGAGACGATTGGCTGAGCCCTTGGAGCTTGCCGAATCTGGATGCAGCTTGGGTGCCCAGGATCGCCAACTATGGTATGGAAATGAAGCTGAAAAGCCCCGAAATCGTTTCGATCTGAGCTCAGATGGTATCTTATCGTTTGAGGGATTTGTGCGCGGGTGTGTGTGTGTGTGTGCGTATGTATGTGTGCGCGTCTTCACGCGTGTGGCAGCGCTTCCCGCGCTGAAGTCACCCTGCGGGTAGTTTGAGTAAGCCAGCGCATCGGATGCTGCAGAAGCGATACAAGGACCATGATGTTCCTGTCTTTGGCGGCAGTCATTGCCATCATGTGCGTGTTCACTTGCTGTGCTGGGCTTACTCTGCATCTGTGGGCGCAGCACTGCACTGCAAGGAAAATTAGACGTATCTAGGGTCACAGAAATCAAAGTGCACCTCCGTTGTTTCCGCTTTCGATCAGTTTTTCTTTCTCTTGGCATTCTGGATTCAGTTGTTTGCTTTACATGCCTCGCACTCGAAGCTTCGTCCCAGAGGCTCCATGTCGAAGCAAAGCATCAGTGCTTACGTGTGCGTGGTGCACATGCACCCTCAGGTCCCCAGACCATGCGAGAATTTCCTAAAAACTACTTCTTGCTTGGACTCTTTACCGTGGCCGAGTCCTGACCGCATGTGGTTCTCGATCCCCAGAGATCAATCAGGTAGCGCATGTGAATATTCATGCTGGGGCCACCAAGCCTAGGAAGCTGTCATGGTTGGCTTCGTGTGTGCGAACTATACAGCCGGGCTCCCGGTACGCAGAAGGCTAAGGCTTCAAGGAGAAAGCTTTTGTGTTTCCTTTGCCCTTGGTGCAATGCTCAGGCGCAGTCCGTGATCATGTGCCTGGCAATTACAGCCGTTTGTGTTGGCGGCTTGACGCTCTTTGCTTGCCAGACAAAGTACGACTTCACAGGACCGGTGCCTGCAACCGAACTAACCGGGGATGCAGCTTCACCACTCGCAGAAAGGATCAGAAAGGTGTAGATGCCTCGGCCCTGTGGTGGACCGGCAAAATGGCTGTAAATAGCTTCATCCTTTCCCGCCTCTGTCCCTACATGTCCCTACCATCCTGGTTTTGTTTGATTTCCAGTGAGACACATGCCGAGCTTCGCTTGTGCATTCAGGCAGAAGCTAGGTACCTACTTGCAAGTGCAGAATCGAAGATAGAGACTGAAGAAAAAACACATTCCAAGTGCAGATGCTACGTGCAAAGACATCGTCAGAAGTCTCTGAGCCGACAGCCGGTTGGGATCAGTTGGATCACCTCGGTCTCGAGTTGGCCGGACGAAAAGCCAACCTGGATGTCGCCAGGACTTCTTCCCTACTTCCTGACTGCTACCTTCGTTCTCTGCGGTTCTTCGGCAAGATGTAAGACCCACATCCAGAGAGTTTCAAATCAATGCACGGTCGTCGCGATTTTGTGGCGCCTTTTTGCCTCAGAGTTGTCATGTTGCCCTGAGTCACACGCTTCAGTATGCTGCAAGCATGGCACTGGTGTTGAAGCACTTGAGGTTTCAGCTTCATGCTCATGATGGGTGCAATGCTTGGAGGGGCTGGAAGTGGATTCTTCAGGACCCGCCGAGCAGGTATGCAGAGTCGCGTTCTTAACATGCAAGCTTTGGCATGCTTTCACGCGCCAATTCCGTTCATACTCATGACTGTATCTTTAGGTTTGCATCAGTCGTGGGAGCATGGTCGAGCTTACCCTCAGCGCAGGGCAGCCAATATGGTCTATGCCGCCTTCGGCGCTCTGCTCTTCTGCGGATGCTTGGCCATGACCACCTTTTGCCCCGGCGATCGAACTAGCGCGAAAACAACGCAATTTGAGGGCCGTCAGCAACTTCTGGCATTGATTCAAAACCTGGCCAAGGTGTTCAACTTATTTATGTAAATATTTTCAAACTCAGGCCCAACGGCAATTCCACATTTGTCGTTGCAATGCCTTTCGAAGGCTTTTTGCTACATCATGAGCTGCATACTCTTTGAAGGGACGGGTGGCTTGTGCACGGCTGTGACTGGTGAAAATTCTGTAAGGAGCAGCGGCACGGCAGGGCACAGTGGCTCGAAAGGGGAGCAACTCATCCACAATCCTAAGATGTCCTAAGGATACATCGTGGTGGACACCCAGATGATCATTGGTGGAAAGCATAGTACATATTCGTTTACTGTGGATGACTACTGCATGGCACCTCGACCGAGCATTGCATTGCCTTCGGAAGCTGTGCATGCAGGCACATGCTGTGTCCAAGGCCGCCATCACACTCTACATTGACATCATCCAGCTCTTCCTGTACTTACTGCAGCTTTTCGGAGATCGGAACGACTGAGCATCTTGCTGCATGCCCAGCTTACAGTTTGTGGCATGCAGCTCCGTATTTCACTCCCGCGACCTTCGTTTGCCCTTTAGCGGCAGCTCTATTGAACTATTGAGCAACAGTGTGTAATTGTTTGTGCAAGTTTCAAAGTCATTGATCCAAGAAGGTGTGGGATCTCGTTCTTTGCGGCAGCTGGTGGACAGATGAATGCAGTCAGAACCAAACCCAGTATGTCGCCTTCGGGGTTGACTCTAGAGCGAATTCATGAAGACACTTCCCACCAGGGAACCAAGATGCAGAAGAACCAGCGCTGGCTTCCGCCGCTTAAAGCTCCAGATTCGGCAATTCAAGTGGTCTGGTCTTGTGCTTCGAGGACTCATCAATATCATGGGTGAAGTGTTTCAGGAATTGCCGACTCGCCAAGACGCAGCATGTACACAGAAGCTGCAGCAGCCAGCTGAAGACGATTTGAGACTCTTGTCTGCGCGGAGATAGTTGTGCTGGCTGCTAGCAGGCGCACCAGAGACCCCACTGAGAATTGAAATGAACCGTTTGCCCTCAGCAGCGGCTTAGTGTCGGCCAGGTGGAATCCCAGCGTGCGCAGCTGCAGGCGGTCGCTCTGTTGGCTGCTGCTAAGAACGGCCTGCACTGTCCATAGTCCAGAGTCACAGAAGGGCGCACTGGCTGGATAGATCCCCCTCGCACAGCTATGTGCCGCATGCTTCTGTCTGAGTGGTGAAGTCGAGCACGTTGGTTTTGCATTGGCCGGGCTGATCTTCCGCTTGGATTCCTGACGACTTTCGACCGGGGCCTTTAATTTTTCTTTCCCTGCTCGAATGACGCTCTGGTCGGTTTTGTACATTGTAGATGCCGACTTGTGTCGTAAGTGAGCAAGTATCGGGAGAGGCACATCTAGAATAATCTTGAGGCCACCCTCCTCCACTAGACTCCCGAGACGACCCTGTTGAATTTGGTCCGAATTCACCTATACTCTCCTGACCGTCTGATTTGACGATGACGATCAGGCTATCGTCCGCTGCAGCATTAGGCAAGTTGAGCAAACCTCCAACCTTCTGAGTGGAAGCCCCGCTCTCGCACCACATCTACCATCAAACCTGCGATTGAAGCCCGACGCGACTGCCGTGGTACCGCGGTTTGGTCCGTTTTGGTTCTCCAACATGTCGTGCCCTCGACACGGTTATCAAACACGCGGGTTTTAATTGCGCGATGAATTGATGCCATCGTCCATGCAAGAAAGGCAGTCTATCTGTACTCTGATTCCATTTGTCCGCAGGCTCAGTTGGATGAGATCCAAGCCGGCTATGTCAGCCTCAAGGCAGTTCAGTGCAGTATTTTCTTCCGGACGTGCGGAAAGTTTCGACTTTTCGAGGCTGTGGCAGAGGCGGAGCGTTCGAAGACTCGTGTGGCGGAGCAGACTCTGAAGGCCGCGCACGGCTTTGGCGCTCGGCCCGGCTGGGTTTGCACATGCTTGCACTGCTGTGTGGAGGAGCGTGATGCCCGCGTCGCACAGCTTCTTGAGGACAGAAACACCTTCTGATGGGAGCTCTACAGATGCTCTTGGTTGAGCTGATGGCAGGAGATTCAGAAGTATCGTTCCCAGCAAAACCTGATGAAGGATGAGGCAGCATCGTATTCGCATCCGTGGTTGTAGCAGACTGGGATGGTGTTACTAGCAGCGGCCACAGCCATGCATCGGAGCATCGGACGACAATGTTCCTGGTGCGGTGTAGCGGTCTTTGTTTCAACGTTTCCGACAGTGCCAACCAGACCGGCCAGGCCATCGAGCTCGCTGAGCACCGCGCCTGGCTGGGCGAGGCCGCGTTTGCTTTTGGTGGAGCGGTCGCGTGTGGAAAAAATCTTCGAAGATCCTTCGCTCACGCAAAGTAGCCGGTACTGTAGGAAGTTCTGCATCTCGCAAGGATCAGCGGTGGCTGCTCACGCTGGAATCCCGCCTGAAGGAGGACTGCTGGGACGTTGCCGGGACATAGGTGTGTGCTCTTTAGCACCTGGGTCACGGAGGGTCCTGGGCAGCTAGTGTGCACGGCAACGGGGGGAATGTTGGGTGCCGACTTGGCTGGTAAAAACTATGGTCAGCTGGAGCTTTAGTAACTTCAGTGAGCCCCTGCGAACCTCTTTCAAATCCTAGAGGCGAAGCATGAAGCCGACCAAGCGATAACCAGCTTGCAATCGGTTCCTGCACACTTCACGAGGAGCAGAAGCGGGCGAGTGAGCTCGAGGACCAGCTCCTGGAGGAGAAAAAGAGGTGCAGTGAACATGTTCAGAACCCGACCTTGTGTCCGTGTTAACCTGCCTCATGTGGCTGAACGGCTTTTACGAGATCTCACGAGCTCGGCTTAGGTGCGCTCGGCGACTGGAGGACATGTCAGAGGAACTCTTGGAGGAGAAGGCAGGGACACGTCTTCGCATCCGAAGCCCTGATGCCGTAGCTGCAGGTGGTCGAGCTGAGTATCGAGTGCACTCGCTTGCCTAAACTAGAACAGTTCCAGCATCACAGGTCGATGTCCGACTCATCTGGCTAGGCCAAGTGCTTGGAGCTGCGGAAGCCACGTCCAGCGGACCGGGAACGCCAGGCGAAGGAGCTTCAGATACTTCTTGCAGGTGTGCTGTTCAGCCTCTTGTGGTTCCTGATGGACAGTTTACGAGACTCCGGCACGAGCAGAGTTTGGGGCTTCACGGCAGTGCTTTCAAGCGTCACTGTCGCTGCTCGCCCGAATCAAGTCAGCCCTGCTCGGGCAAGAAAATCGTTCACAAAAGTCGCTACACAAGCAGTCAAATATGCACAGTAGCATGTGCTACGTCTTCGGCATGTGAGCAGTTTCCGGGCATGCTCGCCGGGGGGCTGCTGCCGCAGTCACCTCCCATCCTTTCAGAGCTTGCAGGCACCGGACTCGCTGTGAAACGGTCAATTGGGTTTCAGCTTTAATCTCCGAAGGGCGTCAGTCGCGGGTACACGGCCAAATCCGGCCATCTGCCGGAATCCTACGGCAAGAGACGCCAACATGTGCGATGAGTGTCGCAGGACTTCAGTCCGACCTACTGAGGTCCTCAGGCGTGGCCGTAGCCAATTCGCTCTGGTTGCTGCTACGGTCGCGTCCGTGCCTGGGCTTGATCTGGCGTAGTGCTCGGTTTTAAAGAACAAGTGTCACCTTCCCACCTCCCGCCGCTTTGCCGTTTTTCCAGTCTCCGCTCAAGGTGCACCGGAGTAGAAGCCGATGGCACAAGGCAAGAAGCTGACTAGCTGACTCCAAGAAAGTCAACATGGACACTGGGCTGCGCAGGGCCTTCGCTGCAATGCCGAGAGGGCAGATGCGAGTCCGCCCCGACTAGAATTCCTTGATGATGACTTCCGGCTGCAAGTCACGGCAGAGCACAACTGGCTTCAGAAGATTTGGCCACTACCACCAGGATCCGAGCTGCTACACCATCGGCATCCTGGGTGACCTCCACTTAGACCCTCGCGACCTGGAGGACTCTATGATCGGCCGGCAGCAGCCTTTCTGCACTTGTCTGCAAGCTGCAAGAGCCGGGCCAGAGCTGCCATGTCCAGGCACATGAAGGATGCTTTGGAGGGACAGCCGAACGCTTTCGCTGTTTCTCTGGGTGATCTTGGAGAGTCCAAGGATTGCAATGCGGCTTGGCTTTAACACAAGATTCACTCAGAGCATCTCGGAACAAACAGTTCAACAAACACCCGGAGCCTTTCTCCAAACAGGACACTCAGCAGCTTTTTTCTGGAACATCGCCATGCTTCAAGCTCGCGCGCGAGTTCTTGGATGGACCTGGGCTTAGCAAAAGGCAAGAGAGCCACGATTGCCGCATCCTGTCTTGCTTTCCTGCTTGACCCTCCTAATTAGGTCTGGGGACGAGGTATGATGTCGTGGGCGGCAACCATGACCTAGAGGCATCTCATACATTGCACTAATCCAATCAACATCCAAGGCATCTGTTGTGTCTGAGCTGATGGCAGGGTCGGAGGGTAATCCAGCTGCTTGCAGGGCATCGATGAGTTCGGCACGGACGATGAGAACCTGAAAGCCTTCCTAGACATTCTGGGTAAGGACCACGTGAGTGCAGATTTCATTTTTGCATCGAAACCGTGTGCACGAAGAAAGCATCTTCGAATGTTGGCAGCGACAGGAGAATCCCTACTTCTGCCGACGTCCCAAGAATGCACACGAGGAAAATGAAAAGCACAGACTCTCAAAGGGACCCGTGGTCGGTCTTCACTGTTCAGGTCATGAGATTGCAGACCGGACGCTCCTCGTTGGCCTCGGCTCGACTTCCTTCCGCTCCGCGCGCTTCTCGGCCGGAAACAGAAAAAAGCCAAGCGCCAGCGCGGGCGCCAAGTCGGAAAGCGGCGCCTGCTCTTTGGAGGGCGTAACTGCATCCATGCAGAAATGTGGTGGGCCTAATTTTTTCCGAAGGTTTCGCAGCACGGTAATACACATGTAAACGGGGAGGGCGGGGGAGAATAAAATACATAACGAGTGGGGCGGCCTGCTCTTGCGAGGGTTTAGCTGCATCCTGGGAATTAATGTACAACGAGCAGCGGGGGACTTTCAGTATTTAGCTGCATCCTAGGGAATAACTGTAGAAATGGGCGGCGGGGATTGCTCCTTCCGAGGGTTTAGCTCGCCGCTGAAAGAATCAGTTTCCTACATCTATTGCCCAGAGATGCAGCTAGAATCTCGAAAGGCCTCCCTCTCCCGATTGCTACATTCCCCTGACGTGGCCTGCTTTTTCGAAGGTTCAGCAGCATGTACAACGAGCCGCGGGGGTTGAGCTGTGTCCACAGGGACTGAAGGCATTTTGACTGCATCCCTGGGAATAAATGTAGAAATGGGCGGCAGGGCCCGCTCTTTTCGAGGATTTAGCTGCGCCCCCCCAAGAATGACTTTCGATGTCAAAGGCATGTATAAAAACCAAGGGGCCCTCCCCTTTCGAGGTCTTTGCTGTGTCGCCAGCGAAGCCCGAGAAGAGCAAATGTTTTCAGGGGTGTTTGGGGGGAGGCAAGGAGCTGCTCTTTCGAGGTTTTAGCTGCATGCCCAGGGAATAACTGACTAGGGGGCGGGGTCGGGGCGGCAATTGTTGAGGGTTTAGCCGCACCCACAGAAAATAGATGTATTTCACCAAGATTTGACTGCATGCTTCCCACTGTAATGTTGCTGGCTACAGCAGTCGAAAGGCGCGCAGTGGCTCACTTTGATGTCGCCGCACTCGCAGCATCCAGTGTCGAAGACCTACAGCAGTCACATCTCTTTGATGAGCACCCAGGCTTCTCGTCCCATGAGGCTTGGGACAAGATGAAGCTGCACCTGCCACATTTTGAAGAGAGCGTGTCGGACGTGCTCCCTGCAATGAGAGTGTCAGCTGGCCATTCTGTGGAGGTGTCAGTGGATTCGGAGCAGCTGGAGTGGTTTGTGGGAGCCTCGTGGCATTGCAGCACGTTTAATTTCACGCACGCATGGCACGCATGGCAGCACATCACCCGGAGCTGTACGATGCTGTACGCGTGCATCAACAAGCCACATAAGTGGGTAGATTTCGTCTTGGGGCTACTGGCCGGCGCATGTTGCGCATGCGCTGAGGAAGACACCATCCGCGCCCATCCAGCAGCTGAGGGCTGGCAGGCATTGATCACTGATAACTCCATCTTCGGCAGTTGTGATGTGTGCCGAGCACAAGTGGGTGATATTGCACCTTGGCAGGTCTTCGTGTTCTCTCATGCCCCGATAATAGGCTCTGCCCTGCGAGTGCTCCAGGAGCGGTTTGCCAGTGAGTATATTAAATGAAGTCCAGAACACTTCAGCCAAGCCCCATGGAGGAGATTCATGTGCTGAACGGCTGCTGCTGGTTGAACCACACTGATGGAGTCAGCATGCGACTCAATGCGAGACCAGCGAAAGGGACAGCGAACATGGCTCTCCTTGTGTCGCCTCTGATACAGTCCGAGAGTCTGGAAGGGCATGAAGGGGGCCGATCCGTCGTCACACCGCATGTCATGAGGCTCGAAGAAATTCATCCAGATTGTGCGCGAGAACGCCTGCATAAAAGGTTTGGGTGCCCAGAGAAGTGCATCTTTCGACGCCTGCTGTTCGGATCCACGCCCTGGCCAGGTTGGTTTTCTGGGCACTTCCACTTGTCTCACGATTACGAAGACTCTATCACATTTCCAGGTGAGGCCCTCGTTTGCACGAGTGGAGCTCTGCTCGGCACGGTGTCCGGGCTGGCTAGCGTGGCACTGCAGGCGGCAACCGGCGCGGCCACTGCGTCTTTGCACAGACAGGAGTGATGCGAAGCCACTCCTCGAGAGATGGGAGGCCGGGAGCGGCCAAGTGCCTTGCTGCTTGGACTCAGAGCATGTGCCAGGCAGCAGTCGCGACTGGTCAAGGGCAATGCCCAGGCGCTTGCGAGGGTTATTGGAGGTGCCTGTCAAATGAGTAGTCGTTAACTGCTCGAGCTTTAGTGCTGAAACACCGGCTTTTGGGAATCGTGCTACGGGCATTTCCGGGTTTTGGGCCATATTGGCCCATGCAGCTTAGTGCAGTGCACTTTCGGCTGTCTCTGGGAATCAGGGCTTCGAGATCTACACCCTGGATCACAAGAAAAGCGGCGAGGCCCGGAGCCGAGAGCCGAGTCCAAAGTGGAGGCGAGTCCTTCTTAGAAGAGTATTGTAACGGGTTGTAATAGTACTATTTATGACAGTAGTATGATAGTACAAAAATGCGATTATAACATAAACATATTAGAATACCAGTCGTGTTTTCAACCGTTCAGCCGCGCAGAGCGTCGCTGTGTCAACCCTGTGCTACTCGCCAGCTTCGCTTGGATGCCACCGTGCTCTACTCTGACAGCTGTGACCTTCCGGAGGAGCTCGGTCATATAGGCTTCTGTTTCAATTTGATCCGGCTTCATTACCGGATGCTGCGAAGGAGCTCAAGCTTGATGCAGCAGCTGCAGAGTGTTCTACACTGACCTTCGCGCACACACACGAGGACTGTTTGTAGTCAACTGTCGGTGTGGAGCCTGACTGTCCAGATCAAGAATCAATCCGTGTAAAGCCACTTTTCTTGCAGACAAGCGTGGTGGCTTGCTTCAGGACTATGACCATGCGTTGTGGTTTTCCGCGTACGTGCCGCAGGTGGGCCGAGGGCTGAACTCCTAGATCAGTGGAGCGTGAACACCATTGCTATGCGGGCTGCGCGTGCAATCGACGCTTTCGACCTGTGATGGCGATTTCTCATGGGTGGCTTACTCGGGCAAATTTAACAGGAGAACGACGGCTGCCTGATCCCAGATGCCAACGGCACCTTGAACCCTGCGGGCACGGAGATGGACTTCTCGCAGCCAGACCAGGCAGGGACAGAGCCAACTCACAAGCAGGCCCATAGCTATGGGAATATAGTTGGGCTAATATCTATATGACAAATGGGTCTGGATGACAAGTGCTTTTTCAATCTTGCCGGAGGTCTGCTGGTGGCACATGAAAGACGGAGCGGTGCTGGGCGTGCACAATGGCATGATCATTGAATACGATGTCGACAACTGAGCCTGTCACCCTGTTTCCTGCTAACGT